ATGTAATTCTAGAGCACGATATGTTATAAATTTACATATTTTCCCATTCAGTATACAGTAAATCAATGATTTAATCAAATTTTAATTATTGTATATCTATAATCTATAATAAATGTGCGATTTTTATAACATGTGTTAACATAATGTTTATTTCTATGGCATAACAGTGTTGTGGCCTTTGATTTGAAAGACATTGAATTAATTTACAAAATAAAGGATGACATTAAAAAAATTGTGAAAGTTTTATAAATTTATATATAATACCGTATAATACATATTCAAAGTACAGTTAATGGCTATAAATAATAGGTTATTATAAATATAAAATGTATATTAAAATTGCGAAACAAAGTCACTGCAAGAAACGGCTGTGAATAAGAGGTTTATTAATTAAGAGATCACTATTGCCTAAAATTATTAATTTTATATTCATTGACCAAAAATCAAAGATATGTCAATATATTGTACAGTACTGTACACACAGTACTTATGTCAGGACTTTCTTTACACACTCTTCGTCGCCGTTGATTGCAATGATCTTTGCTTTCTTTTGGCGATTATTCATACAAATAGTGAAGTGTATTAAAACAAATATGAGTACACATAGAGTGACACAAATCAAGTTAAACCAAATCAATATCAAAGGATTGGCTTCGATGTACTTTCCGACCAACGATGGCGAGAGAGCACATGTGAGTCCACCGGCGAACACAAATATTGAGCCGATCACGTTTGTCACTCGGAATTGGTGTTCTGATCATTGCAATAAAACAATACATTAATTAGATATACTGTATGTAATTTAAAAATTAGATATATGTCAATATTTTCTTACCGAGAAATGCATACATCGACGCGTATACCGACGAAAAGCCGGCGCCCAGTATTATATTTCCCATCCACATCATCACCAGCGAAGAGTTGGCCCAAAATATAAGGATCAAAGTGCCGGCGACCATCATTATATGATTTGCATAGAGAATCACTTCGGGCTTCAGTTTTATTGCCAGAGGTATGGATAGCCCGCGGCCGACGGTGAAGGCGGCCGCCGCAGCCGATGTGACCAAAGCCGCCGCTTTGGGACTCATATTGAGGTCCGAATTGACGGCAAATGTGGGCAGGAATTGGAGATGCATTTGTTCCATACCCACGAAGAATGTCAGAAACAATGAGCCCATTGTCACCATATATACGGTGTTAAACGGAGGAATATGTTTAGCCATAAATGCCTTTAATTTAGATGAGTTTGTGTTTGCTTTTGAAATAAATAATAAATAAGTTTTATTTTAAGATTTTTTTTGTGTCTCATTAATAATAATTACTTTCTATGAGATCTTTATTCTCGTGTTGAGAGTTGTTGTCCTCTTTGACGGGCGGTTCGTATTTCTTGTATATAAAAAGGATGAGAACAGTGGCGGCGCCGGCGATACTCATCGCACCGGCCATTGCGTACGGAATGAATATGACTATAGGATTGGCTCTGATTTGTTCGTCGGTTATAAAGTCCGAGGACTGGAGCACCGGATGACTGCCATTCGATGCGTTGGCACTGGTATTGTCTAGTGGTTGGAAATCTGATATCTTCTGAAAGTGGTGTCCGACCATTACTTTGCTCGAGAGGAATGGCTCACAGATAAGTGGGGCCACAAATGAGCCCAAAGCGTATGCGAAGTGCAAGGCCTGCATATAGGGGCCGCTTTCGGTGCCCCATATCTCCAGAAGCCAGACATTGATGGCGGTGTCAAAGCTGCCGATCGCGAAGCCATTGATGGCGCCCAACGAAAACAGTTGCGACAGTGAGAGACAGTGAGGCATAAGAATCAGCGAAAAGCCCATCAAAGCCATGAAGAAGACAAACGCCAGCTGACGGTTGATGTAATTGAAGAGAAAGCCGCCTAAAATCAGTGCACATTTTGTTTGTATAGTTAAATAGTCATAGAGTAGTACACAATACTCCACTAATTCATTAGTTTTTAAATTTAATTCTGACCTAATTTTTTGCGCCTAAATGTTATATTTTTAGCTATTTCTATATAGTTTTACAAAAAGCTTTTTTTGTGTATTTAAAATACATGACGAAGGTCGTTCACTCACTTAGACTACCGATGGTAATGCCCGCCGATCTCATGGTGTATATGAAACATATACTCTTAATACTGGTGTCGAAAAGGGCTGACAGTTCAATAAGAGTGGGTCCGACGACATAGAAGTTAACTGAAATGAGAGACAAAATATATGGTATAATGTTATGTAATGAGAAGATATTGTGCCACTAAAATACACTACTCATGTCATGTGTAGTTTGCGTACAGTATATACCGGCGCGAACCGGATTCAGCGCTGGATGAAACCAGTGCTCGCGTAGAAATTTATATATCACACTATACTTTGCATTGCATTCACAACACAATACTCTCGTTTCCAATCGATAAAAAGCAGCAAAAGTTTGTTTTAAAAATACACGCATTCGTAGATACCCTATGCCTTATTAGATTCAGTGGACCTTTTAGTTTGCATTTCTCTGTCTTATCATTAAAATTGATTGTAAATAGAGTTTTGAAAATTCAAATATTAATAATCAATAATAAGATAATTGTATCTATAGTTGGCGTTTACAATAGGAATTTGGAGGACATAAACACGGGTTGGATAAGTGTGTGTGAAACGGATGTTTAAGATTTGATAAGAGATGGTAAAATTTATCATATAGAATGACCCCAACCCTATTGATCAGAATTTTCCCACACAATACTTCACAAACAAGTCAACAATTAATTGCTATAATATTTAAAATAATTTTTGACGTAAAGATTTATTTTATGTAAAAATGTTTAAAAAAATTATACTATTAAAGTTTTTTACAGAATCTAAAAAATTTGGCAATAATTACCTATACAGTATACATGTAATAAAATTATGTTTAAAATCATTTTCATCTGAAAATATTAAAGAATATAAATCATTTGTATATGAATTAAGAGCACATAACGTGTGAATTATGTCGTAAACAATAATATATAGCAAAACAAGTGATTCAATCGATTCATTTCCTGAGAATCTAAGCCTTACTATCATATGATTCCGTCGATTACATCATATGTTTCATTGACTCAACCTTTACATAACAACACACAAAACGCTAAGAATCTATATATAGTTTTCATTNTTCAATCGATTCATTTCCTGAGAATCTAAGCCTTACTATCATATGATTCCGTCGATTACATCATATGTTTCATTGACTCAACCTTTACATAACAACACACAAAACGCTAAGAATCTATATATAGTTTCCATTAGATTCTGTGCATTCTTATGGATATAAATAAATATAATCTCATAATTCGATGAAAATTAATTAATATAAATATTTCAGTGATAGTTTAACAATGAATTGACAATAAATTCGTATAAATAAAAACAACAAAGAAATATTTTACATAAACAAAACTTAAAATGAAAGGTAAATATTATATTCATAAAAATATTATCCAAACCTCCGTAGAAGAAGTAGCAGAAGAACAGCGAAAACGTTGTTATATACTTCATAGTCATAGACATCTTCATGTTTGCAGAGTTTATTTTATTATAAAAATATTATTTGTTTAAAAAAATTAGTTACAAAAAATTGTAACACTTTTTTCGTATACAAATATAAATATTGGCAGAATTTACAGATGTCTTATTCGTGTGAATCTCTTCCTCATCAGATCCACAACTGACAAGTGTTTCTGCGATTCATTCAGTTATATATACAAAGTATAACACCAACTGAACTGAAG